CTGAGATGCAAGGCTGGTTCCACATAATGCAAACCAATAAAGGTAATCCATCACATAAACAGAACCAATGACAAAAAGCACATGATTATCTCAATGGATGTAGAAAAGGCCTTCCATAAAATTAAATACCCCTTCATGTTAAAAACTCTCAATAATCTATGTGTTGATGGAACATATCTCAAAATAATCACTATTTATGACAAACCCATAACCAATATTATACTGGATGGACAAAAGCTGGAAGGATTCCCTTTGAAAACTGGCACAAGACAAGGATGCCCTCTCTTACCACTCCTATTCAATGCAGAATTGGAAGTTCTGGCCAGGGCAATCAGGAAAGAGAATGAAATGACGGGTATTCAAATAGAAAGTCAGGAAGTCAAATTGTCTCTATTTGCAGATGACATGATTCTATACTTAAAAAAATACCATCATCTCAACCCCAAAACTCCTTAAGCTAATGAGCAATTCCAATGTGTGAAAATCACAAGCATTCCTATACACCAACAATAGACAAGCAGAGAGCCAAATAATGAATGAAATCCCATTCACAACAGCTACAAAGAGAATAAGATACCTAGGAATACAGTTTACAAGGGAAATGAATGACATCTTCAAGAATTACAAACTACTGCTCAAGGAAATAAGAGAGGAAAACAAACAAATGGAAAAACATTCCATCATCATGGATAGGAAGAATCAATATCGTGAAAATGGCCATAATGCTAAAGTAATTTATAGATTCAATGCTATTCCCATCGAACTACCACTGATATTCTTCACAGAATTAGAAAAAAACTACTTTAAATTTCATATGGAACCAAAAAAGACCTGTATAGCCAACGCAATCCTAAACAAAAAGAACAAAGCTGGAGGCATTATACTACCTGACTTCAAATTATACTACAGGACTACAGTAACCAAAACAGCATGGTACTGGTACCAAAACAGACATATAGACCAATGGAACAGAACAGAGACCTTAGAAATAACAACACACATCTACAACCACCTACTCTTTGACAAACCTGACAAAAACAAGTAATGGGGAAAGGATCTCCTATTCAGTAAATGGTACTGGGAAAACTGGCTAGCCATACGCAGAAAACTGAAACTGAATCCCTTCCTTACACCTTACACAAAAATTAACTCAAGATGGATTAAAGATGTAAATGTAAACCCCAAAACCATAAAAACCCTAGAAGAAAACCTAGGCAATACTATTCAGGACATAGGCATTGGCAAAGACTTCATGACAAAAACATCAAAAGCAATTGCAATTAAAGCCAAAATTGACAATGGGATCTAATTAAACTACAAAGCTTCTGTACAGCAAAAGAAAATAGCATCAGAATGAACAGGAAACCTACAGAATGGGAGAAAATTTTCACAATCTACTCATCTGACAAAGGTCTAATATCTGAATCTACAAGGAACTTAAACAAATTTACAAGGAAAAAAAAAAAAAACCATCAAAAAGTAACCCTAGCACTTTGGGAGGCTGAGGCCAGAGGATCACCTGAGGTCAGTTCGAGACCAGACTGGCCAACAAAGCGAAACTCTTTTTCTCTACTAAAAATACAAAAATTAGCCAGGCATGGTGGCACGTGCCTATACTTCTTGCTACTCAGGACGCTGAGGCAGGAGAATCACTTGAACCTGGGAGGTGGAGGTTGCTGTGAGCTGAGATTACATTCCAGCCTGGGCCACAGGAGTGAAACTCAGTCTCAGAAAAACAAACAGACAGACAAACAAAAAAATGGGCAAAGGATATGAACAGATACTTCTCAAAAGAAGACATTTATTTGGCCAACAAACATGAAAAAAAGCTCATCACTGATCCTTAGAGAAATGCAAATCAAAATTGCAAGGAGATATCATCTCACACCAGTCAGAATGGTGATTATTTAAAAGTCAAGAAATAACAGATGGCTGGCAAGGCTGTAGAGAAATAGGAATGCTTTTGCACTGTTGGTGGGGATGTAGATTAGTTCAACCATTGTGCAGGATAGTGTGGTGATTCCTCAGGGGTCTAGAACCAAAAATACCATTTGACTCAGCAATCCCATTACTGGGTATATACCCAAAGGAATGTAAATCATTCTGCTCTAAAGACACATGCACATGTATGTTTATTGCAGCACTATTCACAACAGCAGAAACATGGAACCAACCCAAATGCCCATTAATGAAAGTGGATGAAAGTGGATAAAGAAAATGTGGTACATAGCTGCCATGGAATATTATGCAGCCATAAAAAAGAAATGAGATAATGCCTTTTGCAGGGACATGGATGAAGCTGGAAGTGATCATCCTGAGCAAACTAACACAGGAACAGAAAGCCAAGCACATGTTCTCACTCATAATTGGGAGTTGAACAATGAGAACACATGGACACAGGGAGGGGAACAACATACACTGGGGCCTGTCGGGGAGTAGGGGTCAAATGGGAGGGAGATCATTAGGACAAATACCTAATGCATTTGGGGCTTAAAACCTAGATGATGAGTTGATAGGTGCAGCAAACCACCATGGCACATGTATACCTATGTAACAAACCTGCACATGCTGCACATGTATCCCAGAACTTAAAGTGAAACATAAAAAAAAAAGTTCTGGGGTAAAATTTACATTTTCCTTCTCCCTCTTTTTTTTTTTTTTTAAGTTCGGGTTACTGGACAATGTCTTTGTTTGCAGGACAGGATGGCCTCTGAGCCTATCTTGACATAGTGTGGCCTATAAGAGACTAACATTTAGCCTGGTATTCTGTGGTCTTTTTCTAAAAGATATTTCAAGCTGGAAAAAAACTGTTCCATTAGGAGTTCTTGTTTCATCTGGATAATAAATATATCAGATTAGAAGACAGCATCCTCGTAGTAAGCTGTGAGTTGGATCAGAATAAAATTCTCAACACATTTATGAGATCTTTTCATTATTTTTTAATTTCCAAATTTCATTTAAGCCGGCAGATTTGACAAAAACATTTTACTAAATAAACATCTTAAAATTTTTTTATTTTATATGGATAACCTTTAAGACGTAAAGAAATACCATAGTATAAAATATGAGGGATGCTAGTGCCACAGAAGGAAATGTACTTAACATTTTTAATCTCTAGATAAGAACACCTTTAGGTCTGGGGCTAGTTTCCTACTGAGAATCGTAAATTCAAGGGTACATTAATACATCATTATCCTTTAAAAACAATTTATCCCCAGGCTTGATGATAAAATAGTTGCAAAATACCACCAGAAACCTGTTTTAGAAATTAAAACTTGAAAGCTACAAAGTTAATTTTTTTTTCCAGTGAATTGAGAGAAAAAGGCATCCAATAAATTAACTTCAGCTTGGCCTTCCATTTTGATTACACTTGTAAACCCAAAACAGAAGCGCAGCCTCAGCAAATGCACCTTCTGTGTATGCCTCATCTATACAAGATATGGGGTCCAGCTCAGACTTGGCGGATCTGCCCTTGGGGCAGTCTTGTGATCCAAAGTCCCTGTGCCATGTGGGGGGTCCTCCAGGGATCAGTGGATTTTCTCCTTGGCTTTGCTTTCCTTTAGGCAAATAAAGCCAGAGCTTCTCTAATGAATGGAAAACATCTTTTTATGAGTTCCTACTTCAGCAAGACAGGAGCTATTAGACATCCAGGGAGATGTTCTTATCCATCACTTCTGCTGTTTAGCAACATTGCCTCAGTGCTGAGAAACTGGGTCAGTAAAAGTTATTACTAGTGATAGCAGCCTTAATGAATGACCATAGTTGTGTTCTAGCAGTTAAAAGGAATAAAACAAGTCAGAAACGAAGTTGTATGTGTGTGTGTTTTAGAGGAAAACTGGCATTTTATAACTCAAATTAAGTGGAATTCCATTAATTGTTTTTGGTAAGGGGTGTCTCGATTTGAGCCTACCCATAATACCAGAAGCAACACATTTTTAGAGATGATGTCAGATTTCATGAAATGGAACATGCGTGTTATTTCACCACCTTTGTACCATCAGTGACAGATTTACTAGAGTCAATCAGTGTACATTTTAAGATGAATCACATGTATTTTTGTGCACAAATGTCTAAGGGTAAGATCTAGTGTTTAAAGCCCCAGAGTTCGTGGATTAAACAGGAAACACATGTGTGTTGAACATGAGATTTCAGGTAATGGCTCACAAACTTGTCACAAGTGTACCCTGGGAGGAAATGAACGTAGATGGAGAAAAGGGGTAACATCTTTGCTTTCTGTTATTTTCCCACTTCTTTTAATAGAAATGTGCCTAACGGCAAATGACTGGAAAATAGTGGCCAAAGGACAGTAGAGAAACCAAACTGGCCTCTAGGTGGTGCTTGGAAGCAGCATAGGGAAGGCTGGCACCCTTCAGGGTGAAAAGGGTATGAAGCTCAGTAACCTGTAGGCTCCAGGGTAAAGTCCGCATCCCATTGTGACCTGTTCTGCAGTCTCCACAGAGTGGAGTGATTACTGGGCCAGCTGAAATACATTTCTCTTTTCACCTATTCCTGGCCCTGTTAAATTGTGGGAGGTTATAGCTTATGTCAATAAATCATCACCGTCTAAAGTCAACAAACAAGGGGGCGAAAACTATTTATTCAAAGGGCTTTTGCCAAGCAGGTCATTCTGCCACAAAGCTTTACTTAGAAACATCTACCTGCTTCTCCCAGTTTCCTATTTGCCCAGCGCTGTCTTGTCAGGTTGGAGTATGCTGGACCTGCAGGAGCTAAGATTCTGCTGGCTTGCAAGTGGAATGTTTCCCAAGGGAATGTTTTCTCTTTATGTTTTTCGTTTGGTAAAGTTTTTAAAAGGTATTATAGCTGCTACATTTGATATCAAATATGAATCTGTAACTCTTATTAACCACATTTGCCATCAATAAAAACAGCCCCTGTGTAGATAATAAAAAGTAAATCCACACAAATCTATTCCTATTTGTTTGCTTAGTAAAAAGGGAAGCTTCAGCATAAAAATTTAAGAATCTATAACTCCAGGCAGATTTTAACATATACTTTTTTTATTAAATATGTAAAAAGATCAACGCAAGTCAAGTTATTCACATATTCAGAGACAAAAAACTATTCTACCATGCGACAATAGGTGGGTAATGTAAAATGAATGTGATACATCTGAATAAGACTTTTTCATCTATTATGTCATTACTTATCTATATTTATAATTAACAATACATATGTTTACATTCCTTTCAGTTTACATTTAATATATAACAAAAGCTTTATGGTGTACTATTTAGTAAAAGTAATCTGAATGCATATTAAACCTTAACGGAATAATGGAAATACTCACCAGGGAAGGGAAGAGTTCTTGGTTCCCTTCTGGAATTTACTTCTCTCAGGTCAACAGGTCTTTTTTTTTTTTTTCCTGCTTTTCTGCTTAGAACAAACATAGGCTTTCTCTTTGCCCCCTGCTTCAATCACTTCCTATCTGACAGTAGCAGTGGAAGTGCTATAACCAGCCGACAGCGGGCATGAGGGGCGACTAAGGATGAAACTGGGCTTCCTGAGAGGGAGAAGCAGAGCACACACCCACGGATGCTTCCTGCCCAGCCCGATGACATGTGACCAGGGGCTGCCAAGGAAAGCATGCCATGAATGCCGAGATGAAAGAATGATGGGGTTCCACCATCCATGGGAAATGAGTGGGGATTTGCACACAGGCTGGAAGTACAGCCTAAGAGGACTGACTCAAATTCAACTGTTAAAAGATTCCCCAAAGCATCTGAGACATTATCTGGGGTGCAGCACAACAGAAGATGTTTAAGATGGGGCCAGAAAGAATGTATAGCTCTTCTCTAAATAAACGAACAGTCTGCCCCAAGCCTTCAGGAAGGAGAATGGACTACGGTGACTGGGAAAAGTTCTCTTTGCAGGCTAAGAGATCTGGCCAGCATGTTTATTACTGAGAAGGCTGGGGAGCTGGAAGGCAATGGAGTGCTTCCAGCAAGAGTCACCAGGGAGGCTTATGCAAGTTATACAGCAGTAATGGGTTGCTGGAGAAGAGGATCCTAACTCCCTGCTACCCATTCATGTGCATCCACATGACAGGAGTTTGGTCATGATCCACTGAGCATTGGTTATGACTGAGATGTCCAGAGCAGATGAAGAACAGCCTAGGAACCACTGCAGTATCAGCTGCAAGGAGTTATTGTGACCTTTTACAAGAGCTATTTTTTTTCTTAAAAAAAAAAAAAAGATATCAGTGAGTACAACAGGCTCAGAAGAGCAACACGCTGTTAAGCATAATGCTGTGTATAGCACGGCCACTACTACTTGTGACCAGGTGTGGGAGGACGTCACTGCTGAGAGCCAGGCTGTCCAGCCTTAGAGAAATAAGCTGCCGCTATAATGCAGAGTGAGCAGGAGAGAGAAGAAAGGGAAACCAAACACCACGAAACATCTGTCCAATTCTGCACAGTGTGTTGTAATAATCTCAAAAATACAAGCCATCTTTTCCATGTAACTCAATAAATATCACTGCTGCAAAAGATTTATTTTGGAGAGGCTTCTTTTGGTGAAAAGCTTCAATGCCAGAATTTAGAATTCATATTTCATCAATAAAGAAATTTCAAAGCTTTATGATATATAATTCAAAAATTTATTTTAAGCTTTTCAGTTAAGCGGAAAGTGGGGTGGGCACATTTATTTCTTGTTTTTGTTGCACCTGCTAAGTCAAATAACAAGTGAAAGTAAATCTAAAGTTAGAAACCAAGGTGAAATGAATGATCCAGGAAGGGATATCATCTGTCAAAGGAAAAAAAGAGGCAAGGACTTGGAAAGAGACTAAGAAAATGTGCAAATATTAGTTAAAAAAATAAGGAATGCTTTTAATTAATTAATGTTTCCTCTATTTATGAATTGCCATGGTTTAGCTAAGGTCAATGACAAAGAGGGCCCTTGTGTTAAAGAGGGAAAATTCCTTATTCTAGAAGATACTGGGAGGCACAGATTTTCCTGTGCTGTTATTCCAGTGTCTACACCAGACTGCAGAACCATGATTCTCCCTTGCAATTATGCTCCTATTAATAAGGTCTTCACTTCCAGCCTTCCAGCAAGTGTGCGGGATGGTGCAGAGCCCTGGAGCTCAGGGCTGCACACTGAAGTTACCCTTTAGTAGGGGTCCCCTAGTGTGAATGAGGGTTTTGTGGATAAAACCTATACAAAGAGAGGACGGATGAGGCAGGAAGACAGGTACCTACTCAGACCCTCTTTGGACTGCAGAAAACTGATGACAACATCCTGGGGAGAGTGGCTGCCCACCAAAGAGGACCCTGAGAAAGAACATGGCGTAACCTGGGAAATGGGGGGCACGGGGAGTAAGGGACATGGTGAGAGGGCAAAGTTGAGATGGTGTGTTCCTTGAGTGAATGTCTTTCAAAACTAACAACATACTGTGTAGTTGCCTAACATGCTAATGGAAGAACACTGCTGAGCCCTGAAATCCTAGCTTTGAATCCATTTTTTCCCTTTAGTATTGTGAGTAGAGGGAGAAACTGACCTTATGTTTTCTCCCATGACACAAGTCACCGTCATTATGGCTTTCATATCAAGTATCTGTTTCCCTTTGTTCCAATTATTTGACCAAATTTACGTTCAGAGGTTAGACTTGCAAACATCAAAGCACCACAAATGTGTGTGACATCTAGTGACACTGGGTTGAAAAATGCCAATATAAATACCATATATCAAATTACCATTGTTTCACACCAGGATAAAAAGAGGGGTGGTGGCAGTGGTGTTGGGGTGGGAAAGAGTTGTTCTGGAAAGAAATGAAGAAAAGAGCAGAACCAATCTCAAGCAGCCAAATTGTGAAGTTGGATGTATGTGACCCTACAATCTCTCGGGTAGGCGGCCAGAGGGCCGTCTGCTAATACACCTTGGCAAAGAAAATGGGAACCAAGTGCCATGGCTGGCATATGCAATGGTGCTGATGGTAACAGCAGATTGGGAACAACTGGTTTCTGTTGAGCTTGGGGCCACACATGTTCCAATTCTCTAGAAGAAACGTTCCCACGCACAATGGAAGTGTCAAGAGCAGCTGAGGCGGGTCAGTACTCTTCCTGCTGCGGGGGCTGCTGTTCATGGGCTTGCTCCTCTGCTTCCGGCTCTTCTGTGTGGCCCTCCTGTGGGCAGGGGAGAAGTTTCAGCTGAGATAATTGACTGGAAATGGGGCCCTGTGGCCTCCCAGCCCACTGCCACTGCCAGCATGGCGTCTCAAGGCTGTGGAGGGCATCAGGCTTAGTTAGGCACAACTCGCCATGCAAATGTCTCCCAGCTTCCGGTGGCCGATACACAAGCAGGGGTGCCTTAGCTTCCCCATATGAACAAAGAACAGATCATTCCAGAAAGCACAGTCATAAGGCTTTAGGCACCTAACTGTTTTGTTTTGGAAGGAAATCTTCATAGAACACATGGCATATTTTACTAACCTTTGTAAAAGAGTAAACCAAACACAATGACCCAAGAGCATCGTGACAACCATGAATAAAGCTGCTGTAATATAAAAAGCAGCACTCCTGGCCTTCATGGCATGTTGTGTGCGGGGTGTCACTCCTGCATTAATGGATAGGGATGTGGGCTTTTGCTCCATTTCCTAGTCCCTTCCTTGCTGTCATTCTTTTCCTAGTCCCTTCCTTGCTGTCATTCTTCTGCCTGAAGGAGACCCTTTGTTTTGTTACTCACTTGATGTAGGCTTAGATACCAGAGCAGCAGTGCAAGAGGTTCCCAGGCTAAAGAAAAGACAGCAGCCACATTTCATGGGCTGCCCCGGCAACGAGGCCCCTCCCAATCAGGGAGCTCAGGAGCTTTGGCTCAAGGACTTTGGGACATCTACTTAGATGCTTGGGGACCTTTTGGCTTACCTTAGTTTATCAACTGAGAGTGAGATAGGTGAGTTGTTCTTCCCACTATTTAGGAAGACACAGTCCTATTTATTCCTTTGTGTAACCCAGTGAAGCACATTTTGAACATCAACTCCAGGGAACACTAGCCTCAGCTGTATCTGCACATTCATTCATTTTCTGACCTCACACCAAACAATTGGCTGTTTTTTACCCAAGGTGAGGGAGCATGGCCAATCAAAGGAGTTCCCTGTTCGCTCAGCAAGGGCGCACAGCTTCTGTGATGCAGTCTGGAGCATGTGTGGGGACATGTGGAAGTGCCCATGCCTCACACACCCGGCACACTGATTCCTGAGCACTGAACTGCCCAAGCCTGCCCCGTCTGTCGGGCTCCTCTTCCCTGGAGCTTAGGACAAACCCATCTTAGCCAATTCAAATATGGCTGATCATCTCCCCAGATCACTGAGCCAGAATTCTTTCTCTCTTCTCCTGCAGCACTTGTTTTATTCCACTATGACACTGATTTGGAATCCTGTTTTGACCCTTTTGGCCCCACCCACTGGATGTTGAGGTTACTGAAGTCAGGGATAGGACTCTCCGTGCCACCTCTTTCTTATGTGAGACTCAATCTGTGTTGTGTTGAGAGGAACAAGTCACAGTGGATTCAAGAATGAATGAATGAGATTATCAGACCATCACCCAAGGTCACAAGCCACTTATTTTCTGAGAGGCAGTAAGTAGAATGTCAAGGTTACAACATGGACTCAAGTTCACATCCCAGCTCTGTTATTTACAGGGCGTGTGGGTTTGGGCCTAGAACTTAACTGCTCTGGGCCCCAGTTTCCTCATCTGTAAAGTTGGGGTTAGGAGTATCCATATAGAAGCATTTTCAATGCATTTCATTAATCAATGAATCAAAGGACTCCCCGAATCCAACAGAGAAGTTAATGAGTTAAATTAGGTAAAGTGCCTAGTAGAGTGTTTGGTACATGGTAAATATAAATGTGAGCTGTGATTATTATTTTTTAGTGGGAGAACTCTGGAAATATTCTAGAAGTCCAAGTAATTTTTTTTTTAAAAGTAACCCTTTCTGGCTGGGCACGGTGGCTCATGCCAGTAATCCTAGCACTTTGGGAGGCCAAGGCAGGTGGATCACGAGGTCAGGAGATCAAGACCATCCTGGCCAACATGGTGAAACCCCGTCTCTACTAAAATACAAAAAATTAGCTGGGAGTGGTGGTGTGTGCCTGTAGTCCCAGCTAGTCGGGAGGCTGAGGCAAGGGAATCGCTTGAACCCAAAAGGTGGAGGTTGCAGTGAGCTGAGAATGGTACCACTGCACTCCAGCCTGGGCAACACAGCGAGACTCTATCTCAAAAAAAAAAAAAAAAAAAAAAGGTAACCCTTTCTGTGAACCAACAGTAGAAAGTGACACTGTGTTGAAAACTTGGGATAAAATTAAGCATTGTCTCTTACTGTGCCGACAGGCCCCTTATCCAGTAAATGGAGCTGTCCCCACTCCATGACCACCCCTTGTCTTCACCTAGAACTAGATCTACCTCTGAAATGTTGGGCCCAATCTCTTGCTTTCTCTGATCACATAAGGTGTCTTTCTGACCCTCGCACTCCTGAATTCCTTAATTGCAGGTGCTCTTTGACCTCAGGGAGATCTAAGAGCCCTGATCCCCTTTTCACTCCCCTTCTGCCAGATGAACCCCATAACCCTGAGTGTCACAGCAGCTGTGCTCTTGGCACTGCCTCTGCATGCTGCTTTGCCCTCTGCCTGGCACATGTGACACTGGTCCTCTCAGCTCTGAGTCAGTGCCTCACCAACAGTGAGTCCATATGTGCTCAGGAGAGCAGGAGAGAACTTCTTGCTGGGCCACCGAAGGACAGGAAACAGTTACTGGCCTTCCTAAGCTAGTGCTCTCCTCTCATCCAGGGGAGAAGAATGAAACTAACATTCATGGGAGTTTGACAGGAATGGGGGACTGGGAACTCCAGCTGTCTGTTCTGCCACATGCTCCTCTAAATTATGAGAAAGCTACCCCTCCCTGAAGCCTCTCTCACTGCCTGCATCTCCGAGTTAATAGCTTCCCTCTCCAAGCTTCTATCCTCGGTTTCTGCTTTGGTGGGAGAGCGCACCACAGTCCCGTGTGTTCTTGCTGGGTGGCTACACATCTGTCTCTCCAGCTGGGCTCTGAGCCCCCCATGGGTGAGTTATGTTGTTTTATTCAGCATCCTAACTCTTGAACGTGAGTGTGGTGTCTTCCAAATTGTATTGCTCAAACTTCAGCTGGTCTAAAGTATGCTTTTCTTTACATAATTGTTTCTGTGCATGTTAGACTGCTGAAAAGAAGATCTCAGAAATGAGGATCTGTTTTACATTTTGCAGAAATTCTCATTTGCTCACATCACAATTGGGAGTTTATTGTGGGCTAATGGAGTTAAAGTTGAAAGACCTAGATTCAAGTAATTGTTGAGCCTGTAACAAGCTAGAGGGCCAGGAAGCCACTAGGCTAGGCCTCCTTTCCAAACACATCCAACAGGGCAGCAGGTTTGCTGGCTCTGTCTATGGCTCTGAGGCTTCCAGATGCCCAGGGTTGCTGCTCCTCAGGCACACCCAGCTTAAGTCTCAGTCACAGGAGCCCTCTGTGATGTCATGCATCTGCAGGAACTGTGCATCCCAGACAACTTGCACTGGGAAATACCAGCAAAGCTCCCAATTTATCAATGGATTGCTCATGCTTGGCGTGCAAGTCAAGGCAGTCTGAGAGTCTGGCAAAACACATCTGTAATTCAGAGATGTTACAAATCACAACTGAGAGCTCACAGCCCACACAGTGCTATCGCAGGCTCACAGGAATAAACAGTCTTTTTCTATGCCTTATACGAGAATGAAGCACTTAAACCCATGTCTAAATAGGAGGCCAGGCAAACCTATACCAAATATGAGACTAATGTACCAGGGCATCACTTAATAATTCTAATATGTGCATATCTATTAACATCTTTCTGTTTAGCTGTGAGTAATTGTAAGAAAACTATGACTATTTAGTTTTCTTATAATCATTACATAGAGAGGCAAACTGGGAGATGGTATTAATGAAGGCTCTTAGCCACTGTGGGAGGAAAATGGGGCAGAGGAGGGAGGAAGGCCCATCAGGAAGCTCCGACGGCTCCTGGCTTCCTTGCTGTGGGAGGCAGCACCGTGCAGCCTTATCTCCTGCCCCCACGCCAGCTGTGGCTGTTGGTCTTTCTCGTCTGCTCTGTTCATGCTGTTTCTCCCTACCTTAGCTCTATAGCTGCTGATGTTCCCAGTCACCCTTGAACATCCAACACAAATGCCATCTTCGCTGTGAAGTCTCTGCGTGGTCCTCCAGGCTGCTTTTATCTGCTCCCTACGCAAGTTTATTTATGTCTCTTCTCACATTAGTCATCATCTGACACATATTCCAGTTAGTCACGTCCCTGTCTGTCTCCCTTACTGGGAGTGGGAGCTCTTCTGAGGTGGGGTTGGGTCTTTTTCTATAGCCCAGTGACAGAAGCCCTCCAGTGACAGAAGCACAGCCTGTCTCCACAGGAAACAAGTACTGTTCATAAGCTGGTGCCCTCCAGCTGATAGAATCCACAGGAAGCAGGTAGCCAATGCCTCAGCCCAGACTCCTGAGGACTCAAGGTAAGTATCATAATAAGTATCTGTTCTAGAAACTTCCATTAGGTTTCTTCAACTGGGAATTGACCCACCTCTGTTGATTTCTCACTCAAAACTCCCACCTGGATTTTCACATCTTCTAAACATCATAATCTGGGATGGCTTAAATATAAGAATCAGAGTTCAGTCATCACTAAATAAAAGTGTTAAGTAATCACTCAGGGGAAGAGATCTCCCTAACACATACTCCTACCTCAAATGTCAAAGCAAAACATGTCCCTCTATGTTTAGCTGAACAGCACGTGCTACAACCTGGCGTCCTCTTTCCAGGAGGGGTCTGGGAGAGGCAGACAGCCAGGCATCTGTGCCATCTCAGCTCTGTACACACAGCTGTACCAACAGAATCATGAACCAAGTGTTGGCACTTCCCCCAAGATGCCATGCACATCATCCCTGCACATGGGTGCAAATCTACCCATCACCCAACTGTGGGGATGTCAGAAAACAGGACACAATGTCAGGGGAAAGCACAGTGGGGCAAAAGCAAGATTCCCAGAGCTGGGGGTGGTGGTATGTGGTAGCATTGTAACCACTAAGCACATTTTTTTTTTTTTTTTTCAAAATGGATGCTTTTCCAGACCACAGACACAGGGGAAGGTGGGCAAGGGTATAGCTTTAGGAAAGCTCACTGCCCCAGTGTAGGACTGGCTATATGCTTCTGGGTGGTTCCAGAGAAACTGGATTCCATATTCTCAGGGAGAAATGAAAATGCTTGGAGGATTTAAGATATCTAGGATGATTTCTTGGACCTCTGGGAGGTGGAGTGCTGGGGGACAGAAAGGAGAGTATCTAGCTGCTCCTGAGCCTCTCAGCAGAGTCATGTGTGCACAGAATATGGAAAGCACCCAGCAATGTGTCCAGGCCCACTTTTCTTTTTGTATAAAAGCCAAGGTTTAAAAAATGGGTCGTGTCACATTCCAAACAAGGACACCTGGCATATTCCAGATCAAACGACATACTCTCTGTAGAAAACTCACTATAGCCTGATGTGTCTCTTCTGGAGTTTTACAGACACAAAGTTGCAATAAAAATATCCTGGAACTAGAAAAATTAAGCCAGAAACTGTATTTGAATATTTTGCTCTGGTAACCCACACATGTAACTTATGTTAAGGCTGTTTTCTCTGCCAGATTCAACTGCCTAGTTACTTTAAGTAATTCTCTTCTTGAATTTTGGGCACTCCTCAGCATATACTTACCGGGCAATGCCTCTGTCTCTTTCCCTCTCTCTTCCTTCCCTTAAATCTATTTGATGGTGTCACCACAGCGCCAGAGATACAACAACAAAGAAGGTTTAAAAAAGTTACAAACTGGCTAGAAGAAAATTGAAGTTTTACGTGAATGCTGATTTAAAATCAGATGAATGTCCAGAAAAAGAGGCCATGACTAGGCTTTTGAAGGTGAAAATCAACACAATGAGATAAGGGGAGTTACTTAGAGAAAACTCAGGTAAAAATTTGGAAACTTTCTTCTTCACACACATGGTGTGTTCAACTGAAGACCGTCAAGGAGACAGTCAACCTTGAGGCATTCCCCAACTGGTACTAAGCTCATTTCCTCCCTGCTCCATGGTAGCTGCTACTGCGAGAGAGAGGTAGTAACACAGTCCTTATGGTTTTAGCCTCCGAGTTAGATACAACCTTTAGCCTCTGAGTTAGATAGGGTTCAAATCCTAGTGCTGGAGCTTGTTAACCATGAGTCAGTGGGTGAATAATTTCATCTGTAAAATGTAGGTAAGTAACTACTCACCTCATAGGGATGTGGTTAAGGTCAGAAATCTAGGTAGGACATGAATACAATCCTCAGCACATGCTAAATGCTCAATGGGTATTAGCCACTATGACTGTCATAAAACCATTTAAAAGGTGGCTCAGACTTAGAAAAGGGAGAACGTGAACTCAGGATTCAGATCTCAGGGTTCAAATGCAAAGTATTCTACTCCTTGGTTTGGGAAAGTAATTTAACCTCTCTGCTGCCTTGGTTTCCCTCATCTGTACAATGGGATGACAACAAGAGCTATCTAATAGGATTCTCTAGAGAATTATGGGAGCTAATAAGCTAATGTACATCAAGCCTTAGGCCCTTCTACCTCAAACCCCAACCCAGGTGTCTCAGAAGAGGTGTCTGCTAAACTTATTATTCAGTCTTAATGAATGATGGGGCCTTAAAGTGTTACTTCTACTTGGGGTGCCTGCATTTTAGTTGCACATACACTGCAGGAATGGGTCTCTGAATCCAGATGGTGGCAAGGTGGTGCTGGGATCTATGTGTGGGGGGGGTCGGGTGGTGATGGGCATGGTAGAACAGAAGCTGAGTACGGTCATCTAGGAAGACCCCCTGGAAATCACACCGAGGATGCAAGAGCACTTGCCTGAGGCTGTCCACCTATCCTTAGCCGGGAATTCAGCAGACATCTCCAACACTTCATTTGTCGGACAGTGCTCCTGCACATGAGCTCCCTCTTGGGACAAAATCTGGCATGAAGTTAGACTCTGGGTTTCCCCGTTTGAAGTGCAGGGCTGGGAAGAAGATTCAATCCTGCATGCTGGCCTTATTTCCACTAGCAGGAGTTATCGCAGACAGCAGCACCATTCGCTCAGCCTCATGGTGCTGTGGAGACCTCAGCTAATTTAGCCTCAGACAAGCTTGTGAAGAGAATAACCATAGTCCATCTAGTTCTTACAGATGGCAAGCACTCTGTACACACAGGACATCATATAGGTGACACTGTGACACTGTGGCAGCTTCAGACACACTACAAATCAGTCTCTGGTTTCTTCCATCAGATCTGAAAATACTGAGAACTGTATTTTGTGAAGCCATCATGGAAACCAGGTGGATTCTCAGGGCTTCAAAATCTATATTCTGAGCTATTGATAACCAAGAAATAATTTAACCCAAAATATCTGGAAGAAATCAAAAAAAGTGGTAGAGAGCTCCCAAACTGCAGCTACAGGGCCTTACAGTTTAGGAGAATTTTACTGCTAGAATTTTGAGACATAAATGGAGCAAACATTTGCCTGGGATTCAGCTGGAATAAGAGAGTAAACTTGATGATGGCTTGCTACGTCCTGTGGAAATATCAACACATAAACTCCACTGGAGGCCCTCAGAATATCACAGGCCTTCAGCTCAGAGACTGGGACACTTCCACCAGCATCAGCCTGACATAAGTGAAGCTGGACATCCCAGCCCCTCAACTTGGCTCAGTGGAAGGTGAAGCCCCCTTGGGCTCCGACCCCAGCCTCTGGCTGCCGGGCCTCTCCCTCCTGGCTCTGGCAGACCTGGGGTGCCTTGCCTCAGTCTCTGCCGTTCATCTTGCCCCTGCTTCCTAGATTCTTATTCCTCCCATTTCCCACATCTGCTGTTTATCAGTCTGACACAGCCACATCCGGAGTCTCCGTCAGCGCCTATGAGCAGCAACTCTGGTGGCAGGTCCTCCTCATAAAGGAGGTGTGCATGTGGCTGTCCCACAGTTCTGATCTGTCCTGGCAATGAGTAAACAAGATAACCAGCTATGAAATAAAAACAGTCAGTTATGGGGCTTCTGGGGATGGAAAAGGCATCCAGATTATTTTTTCCTTTGACTACACTCTGAATCTGCATGAAGAAGGAAGAATACGTGTACACATTCTTACTGCTCATTTGCTCAGAGAGCTGCAGACCACTTGGAGTTTGGCTGCATAAGCATATTTTTCTGTCAAAGCCTTCCCCACCCCCTAAACCCCCCCCCCCACCCCCGTCTCTTCCCAGATTGATTTGACTGCATGTCCCACAGGCATGGGTCAATGGATCATGATGGTAATGATGCTTATTCCCTAGGGTCTATCAGGTGCACTCAGCTGAGTGGTAATTCTCATTGAGGTCCCAGTGAAGTATTCTAAGGTGTGCCGATCCACTGTGCTTTAACCAAGAAAGTCATTTTAGAACACAGGAGTCACATGCTCCTCACACTTACGTGTTCGTCTGAAGCATACAGGATGTCCATTAGTCGCTGCACGAGGTCATCATTTTCCTGCCCATGTTCTTGGCAGAGTAGCTCAATCTCTCTCAACTTCCCAAAGTAGAAATCCCTTTCCTTTTCCACCCCTTCAAGGGCAAGTTTTAGTGAATGTACCTGCAAGGGAGTGAGAGTGAAGGAAAGAAAAGCACCCAAAATATAGTATAAGAAGTGACCAGCAATTCCCGTGAATAAAACCCAAAACACACACACACACACACACACACACACACACACACACACACACACACACAGAGAGAGAGAGAGAGAGAGAGAGAGAGAGAGAGAGAGAGAGAGAGAGAGAGAGAGAGAGAAATAAAGTGCAGAAATAACTGATGTGTAAGTCTGAGAGAAAAACAACAGGGCTGTTGTTTGGAGCTTGACACTGGGCCAAAACACCCAATTCTCCACAGTACTCTAGTCATTCCCTTCAGTCAACTGAGTGTTTATTAACCAGGGAGAGTGGTCTTTCTGCTGTGCGGTTCCAAGCAGGCTGGGAGTGAGCTTTCACCTCCTGCTAACATACGTTGGAATCCATCTTTCTTTTAACTTGTTACTATGATCTGGAAGTGTGTATCCCCTCAAAATATGTATGTTGAAATCCTAACACCCAAGGTGTTGGTATTAGGAGGTGGTGCCTTTGGAAGGTGGCTGCCATGAGGGAAGAACCCTTATGAATAGGATGAGTGGCCTGATAAAAGAGGCCCAAGTGAATTCATTCATCCTTCAAGCATGTGAAGACAGTGAGAAGGCACGATCTCTGAAGAATAGGGCCTCAATCAGACACTGAATCTGCTGGCGCCTTGATCTTGGACTTCCAAGTCTCCAGAATTGTGAGAAGTAAATTTCTGTTGTTTATAAGCCATCCAGTCTATGGTACTGTGCTTTAGCGGCCTGAACAGACTGAAACACTTGTTAATCTTCTGCAGGAAATGGTGAATGGGAGGAAGAAGGAGAAACAGAAGAGAAAGGCTATAACCACGGCTATTTCAATTTATGTTGAGGACTCTCCTTCCTGTAGATCACTTGCACCAAAAGCTGTCCTTAGCTCTGGACCCTTTTACAAATGATACCAGGCCACATTAGACAAACACTCTCCAGTGAGAAACGGGCTTGGCAACACAAGGAAAACTGGCTGAGACCGAAAGGCTGGCTGAGTGGATCTGTCTTGATTTCTCCAGTCTGGGCTTTGAGTACATCACTGGGAAGGCAGGAGGGCAAGGAAGGCCTATGCCCTCACCACAGTAGCCCTCATTCCTTCTTTCTTCCCCTTGATCTTGGTTCACAGAATTTCCAGGGTTGAGCAGCTTCTCAGGGTGGCTACAGAACAGTGCAAGTGAAGGGAGGAGGCAGTGCTCAAAAGAGAATCCATGAACTTGGACACCTGGAGCTAAAGAAACCCTGATGGGGGTGTGACTAGAGCTGGTTTCAAATCTCAGTCTACCACAGTCTTACAGGTGCAGCAGCTAATCTCAGGCCCAAACTATTACCCTGTTCCTGGTCTCTGAGGATCCCCATGTATTTAAACCCTCTGTTCATTTATTTTTATGTAGGGCATATGCTTCAGGTGGTAAATTAAGTCTTTCATGGCCCTTCTTAGGTAAAATCTGTCATTATCTTAAAAATCACCCTTAACACCTGTAATCCCAGCACTTTGGGAGCCTGAGGTGGGTGGATCACGAGGTCAAGAGTTTGAGACCATCCTGGTCAACATGGTGAAACCCCGTCTCTACTAAAAATACAAAAAATTAGCTGGGCATGGTGGTGTACGCCTGTAACCCCAGCTACTCAGGAGGCTGAGGCAGGAGAATTGCCTGAACCCAGGAGGTGGAGGTTGTGGTGAGACGAGATCGTGCCATTGCACTCCAGCCTGGGTAACAAGAGTGAAACTCCGTCTCAAAAAAAAAAAAAAATCGCCCTTAACAGAATTCCAAAAAATTTAATTTGGAATGCAAAATTTCCTCCTCTCTCCTTCTAATAATTCTGGGCTTTTGTGCATGCTTTATCCAACTGGAATTACTGACTTATTCAAACACACACTGAGCCCATGCAGTGTCCATCCTCTTCCTGTGCACCTGGCAAACCATACCTCTCCTCTAGACTCAGTGTTACCCTCACTGACGCCCCCATGTGGCCGCTTGCAAAGCAGTTGGAGAACCAGTTTGCTAACTTTTAACTCGTTTCTATTAATACTATAGCTTGTACATTTGTAAGATGTTAAAAAACCTGAAGGTGACCAGCTTAAATTCCAGAAAAAAGGAACTCTTATTCTAGAAATCCTTTCCTGCAAAAACAAACCCTCGCTAGATTTGGACACAGAATCCATCTCAACCCTTCACTGGTGCCAGCAGATGGATCTGTGGCAGTTTAGATCTGCCACCACTCCCCAGCCCCCTGTAGCAGGCATGGACACAGCCAACCCACGAAAACTGATCTGTCTGGCTCCCTAAGGCTTTGGTCTGCACAATGAGCAAATAGCTCATACTTTTCTAGACAAGCTTTTAGTGCAAATCAGGCTTCAGTGATATTCCACATGCATTAGGTAATAGCTGCCACTACCAACACTCCCTTATAAAAACCAACACTAGTTAACCTATATGATGAAAGGTCAATTGGCAAGAAAATTCCATTGTCACAGTTCCACTCACAAAGACCAATGCCAGCCTCATCCCTCTTGTGTTGTGGCAGATGCTGAAGCAATGAAGGAGATGCTGGAGATGGACCTTAGAAAGGGAGAAGTAGCTCTCTTCTCATGATTCTCCCAACTGCTCCCAGTGTGGCCACAGTCTCTGCCTGAGCTCCCTGAGCACAGCTGTCAGTGACCAACCTACTTCCAGGTGGCTAATCCACTGACTCAAACCCACTAACCAGAGGAAGTTCTTAATTATTTTCTTTATGACTTTTCCTCCTGTATGTCTTTTGATTCATTTCTATTATGGAAATGGTTTAGCACAGTAGTGTTTCTTTTGTGTATCATGAGAAATTGCCTGAGAAAAGGCAGGAGGGCAAGCAAATGAGAATCCCCCAAGTTTATGGAACTTGTCCCTTTTTCCATGATGACTGCACTTCACCCTTCAGCATCAGGGTCTCTTCTCAGCCTCTCTCACCCGAGTGTTCTTTGTTCCAACACCCTGATGCCTATGGGGCCCGCTACCAGGCTCAGGGGGCATCCTGTTGGCTTCAAGGACAGAGAAAAGAGGGAATGGCAACAGTTAACCACGGATATAAACTTGGAGTAACTGTTCAGTAATACTGATTGAAGGACTCACAATTCAGGATGTTTCTTCTTTTTGAGGGCAGGCACACTCCTTGGTGTGAAGGTTTCAGGGGACAGAAATGGGGAGGGAGGCCTTTTGGAAGTAATAAAGTGATTATAACAAGAAGGTGGCTCTGGACCCTTCCTCTCTCTTCTCACTTGTTTCTCTGAGTGATATTGTGGATGGTAGGATGGTTTAGTGGAGGCATTTTAGAGGTCTGAGTTCCCTGGGGATGGGGCTCTGTGTGTGATCTGGAGAGCTAACCGGAGCATAGAGCCAGCCCCAAGGAGAGGAAGTGGGGCTGTCTGGGTCAGGCTGTCAGGGAGAGAGAAGCTCAAGGTTTCCGCATGGTTATAATTTGGGCTGCAGAGGGTGGGACCCTGGATGTGGCAGACGGCGAAGAGAGGAAGGAGTCATGAAAAAACATAAGATAAGAAAGATACCAAAAATATTTGGGTTCCTTAAGGAAAAGAGTCCTACAGTTGGGCCTTGGTATCTGAGAGGAATTGATTCCAGGACACCCTTTGGATACGAAACCCCATGGATGCTGAAGTCCCTGGCGTAAGACAATATAAAATGGCATCGTATTTGCCTGTACACTTTATCTCTATGTTACTTATAATACCAAATATAATGTAAATGGTTGTTATGCTGTATTGCTTTTAATTTGTATTACTTTTTATGCTTGTATTGCTATTTTTTATTTTGAATATTTGCAATACTTGGTTGCTTGAATCCACAGATGTGGTCACCCACTGATATGGAGGGCCAACTTTAGGTTCAAAGCATTATAGACCCACTGCCTTTAGGTCTACTTTGATTTGCTTGGAGCCTGAGGCATGTGGCCCAAGGCTCATTGTGACTGTCCTTACAGCCTTTTAATTGAGAAGAAGTCATTATTGGAAACCAGGCTCAAACTGAGAATCAGCAGGTAATTAGAACATCTCAGTTTGCAAATCCAAGTCCTACCTGCTGGATGGCTTAAGTTTTAACACCTTTTTCCATAAAGTAATCATAATTGTAAAGAAACACCCTAGTTAAGTAACTGCCTACATTAAACTAGAGTCTTGATTACAAATATACAATTATCATAAAAACTGTTTCTAAACTCTTGCTGGCTCATCAAGAATAAGATTAATCACCACTACTGGCCCAGTGAGTGGCTGGGAACAGCCTGGGGCCCTGGAGTAAAGGCTCCTCTCATAGCGGCAGGGTAGCCAGGATAAAAGGCTTTCCTCTATGGGCCCTCCACTACCCGTTGCTTTTATTACTTTTAAGCTACATATGATCTAAGGAATGATGAGCTAATATTAGAAAATGTACCTAAGATTTTATAATGAAAATTTCAAAGACAGTGGAGCTAGTTAGACTTTACTGTAATTGTGAGGAATATCAGATTAAAAGGAAAGCTCTTCTACTTCAAATACAACTGTGGCCTTTCAGATCCCCAGATACTGGTTTTGGTGCTCCTGCAGCATCCAACTTCTGCCACGGTATCAGATTTTTTGTTTTGCTTGTGTAATAACCTACTGTGTGCAACTGCTATCTGCAGTGAAGGAAAGGTATCTATTTTACCAGTATATTACCAGCATTAAGCATAATATCTTTCATATAGAATGAGCTCAACTACTAAAAGCTGAGGGAAGAAAAGTAGGAGGGAAAGAGGGAAAAAAGAAGAGAAGGGGAGGGAGACAGACTAACCCTGACATAGCCTTTAATACTTAAGCCAAAAGTAAAAAGGGAGGGAGGGAAAGGGAGACAGACTCACCCTAGTGCAGCACTATCTAGAATGACCAGAAGTGGGCAGGATGGGCTACGGTCTAGCCTGGAGCTCATGACAGCCCTGAGGAGCAGGGGAGGGGAAGGTGGCCTGAAGTCTGCAGCAAGGCTGAGCCATCTGCCCCATCTTAATGCACAGCTTTGAGATTTGTGACTAACATTTTTTATTGATCATGGGCTACTGATTTTTGTCTTCCCAAACAATTCTTTTTATTCTTACTTACTTTAAACAACCGATTCTTCCTTACATTCCCTCCCTTACCCCAGTCATAGGGAATCCTAGGCCCCCACCTCTTACGTACTACTGCTCCTAGAGGCATGGCCATGGCTGATGCATTACCTGTTCATTAAGTTGTATGACCTGCGTTTCTAAATCTTTATCGGATTTGGATGCTGAGCCGCTGGAAGAAGCCCTTTTGGCTGATGAGGGTCGAGAAGGTGTGGATCCTGGTTTAGCTGCTGGACTTGATTTAGCTGCACCTGAAAGCAATCAGAATAAATGATAAATACTGGCAACATTAAAAATGTGTTTTAGATATATAGAAAATGAATGATATGAAAGGAGCTTATAACATATAAGAGATACCTCCAGTGATCCCTTCCCATACAGAAGGAGTACAAATAAGTTCAGCAGGAGTGCACACAGTTAAAGTATGGTTGTTTTGGGCAACTTATCTCACCTTTGTGAGCGCTGTTTTTTTCCCTCAAGTAACATGAGGTTAACACTACTGTCTCTTCTCCCTCTGAAGATGTAAGAGTAAAATAAACAAAGGGATTTTTAAAGATTTTTAAGAGGAAAGGTTTTTAAATAAACTCAAAGTATCACCCTAATTGAATTTCTAACAAACAAAGACCTTACAACTGACTAATATCCTAGAAGAAATATCAATAAAAATGTATTTTTTTTCTCTTTTAAAATGTTTCTTAGCTTTAGCCACTAAAGTGTCTAAGAGCAATGACATCTCCATAGCAGTGGGCACTCCTGATGCCCAGACCTTGGTTTTTAAATGTTACTCTGCCATAAAAGGGTTTCTTGAGAAATGGCTGATTCTAAGGATGGGGCAGTAAATGTTCAGACTGAGCTTAGGATATCTTGTGTCAAAGAGCAAGGATGTGCTCAAGGATTAATGTCATGAGCATGAAGGGGCTCCCAACTAGTCACCCTTGGGACAGTCTGAATATCAGAAAGAACAACAAATAGCTTCATTTACTGTAATGCACTGGATAAATAAAAATCTATTAGTTTAAAATGACTGAGAGAGAGAGACAGGCTGGAAGACAGGGAGAGGGAGAAGGAAAAGAAAAGAATATGAAGATCTTTTTAGGCCGGACACAGTGGCTCACGCCTATAATCCCAGCACTTTGGGAGGCTGAGGCGGGTGGATCACGAGGTCAAGAGATTGAGACCATCCTGGTCAACATGGTGAAACCCCGTCTCTACTAAAAATACAAAAAAACTTAGCTTGGCATGGTGGCGTACGCCTGTAGTCCCAGCTACTCGGGAGGCTGAGGTAGGAGAATTGCTTGAACCCAGGAGGTGGAGGCTGTGGTGAGCCGAGATTGCACCATTGCACTCCAGCCTGGGTAATAAGAGTGAAACTCCATCTCAAAAAAAAAAAAAAAAAAAAAAGAAAAGATCTTTTTAAGGAACAGTGGCTGTCAGTAAATGTAAAAGAAATGCTGGAACTAGAACATAAATCACAGTTTTGCAACATCCATAACTAATAACTAATTCAGAAAGGGCTCATCCTTGGACATGTAAACCTTAGGTGAGAAGGTTTTGGGAAACAGGATATTTATATGTGTTACTCTACAAAGTAATTTACTCTAAAGGGGAAAATGCACCCTTACAATGAGGAGATCTGAGGGTCAGCACCTTAAGAACGTGATCCACTTAGCATCACTAATAATGCTACAAAGTGGAAAAAAGAAAGACCACTGGTTTCAGGTAAGACCTCACCTATCTGGAGCTCAGCTCACAACAGACTCTCAGTATCTAGTACAATGCGCAGACACAAGAATGGCCTCTGCGGCCAAAACAGAAGTCCCAATGTATACGCAATATACTTCACGGATTATGAATTCCAAGCCATTACTGTGGGCCGCCTTTCCCTTTTCCTCTGAACACAGTCCCCGTGAAGTAGCAGCTGTTTTCCACCACCCCTTCAGTGTGGTGTAGGTGCTCCTTCTCTGCACTCCCATTGGCCTTCTCTCCCCATCTCCACTCTTATTTAGAGCAAGAAACACATCTTACTCATCTTTGTAACACCAGTGCGTAGCACAGAGCTTAGCTGAACATGTATTTGGTTAAAGAGCAAAGTTTAACTAAATATATAAACATGTAAATAAAACTTTTGGTGATGTGGTTTCCAATTTTACAGTTTATTTCCAGCTTCACAGTTTATTAGTACCAACAGATTAGCAAGAACCAAAGGGTTATAAAGATAGGTATGTGACAGCAGTTACAAGTTTCAACCAACATCCTAATTACAAAGCAGCAAACAGGAAGACCATAAAAATTTTTTTTGTGTCTTGAGGTGCCTGGGGTCATTATCTCCAGATGCAAGTCACACACACCCTCTGGAAGCACTCACAGCATTACAGCCTTTAAAATACATGCCTTTCTGTTATTTTTTTTAAAAAATAAACTTCTTTAAAAATACAGGGAGGTGTCTAATATACTTTAAAATGAGAAAGGTAAGTTGGGAAAAACTTAAAATAGTTTGAATATTCACAGGGTAAATCTGCAGATCCCTGGAACCCTCACCTATGCAGAAGAGCTTCAAAGGTTCTACAGAGCTGACATTTTGCTTTGTTTGTGACTGATACATGGCTGCAAGGGCCCTTCTTCATCTCTGTAGAAGCCCATATGGCACCATCCTGGAATACTACTTCCATGTCCAACTGACCAAGTTCTTTAACCCAAAGGCAAACCAACTGGGTAAAGAAAATAATGTGGATGAGCAGGCAAGGCGGCAGGGTGAGGACACCTGATCTCGCAAAGATCCTTCTCCGAGGCCGCCACCAGCCTAACAGATGGGGAGACAGCTTCGGAAATATCATGTTCTTTCAGATCCTTTTATAAGCAATACCTCATATTTTAATATAAAGAAGGTCTAACAGAAAGTAGTGCAAAGACTAGGATCAGTACCCCTTACACACATATTTATTAACTGCCTGCCGTGGGCCATGCACTGGAGGACCCTAAAAATGCCTAAGATGCAGTATTTGTTCTCCAGCTCTGTCTCACATGGGCAGCAGTTATCTAAGAATTCCCAGGTGTGGCACCTTCAACGTTCTCATGAATAAGCCAGGATTCTATGTCTCCATGACCATCCCATGTGATGGGGCTTGGCTGTGTCGCCATCCAAATCTCATCTTGAGTTGTAGTTCCCATAAGCCCTACATGTTGTGGTAGGGACCTGGTGGTAGGTCACTGAAGCATGGGGGGTGGTTACCTCCATGCAGTTCTCATGACAGTGAGTGAGTTCTCCCAAGATTTGATGGTTTTAGAAGGGGCTTTTTCCCTCTTTGCTTGGCACTTCCTCCTTCCTGCTGCCATGTGAAGAGGGACATGTATGCTTCCTCCTCAGCCACATTTTAAGTTTTCTGAGGCCTTCCCAGCCCTGAGAAACTGTGAGTCAATTAAACCTCCTTTCTTTATAAATTACCCAATCTTGGGCAGTTCTTTATGGCAGTGTAAGAACTAATACACCATGCAATTCAGGCTGTATTCTCTCTGCCTCCTTCCTGTCCCCTACTTCCTCTGAGTGAGTAGGTCTACCATCCTTCCAGTCTCAGTTCAGATGTCACTTTGTGACGCCACAGTGCCCTGAGCACTTTCCTAATGGCATGCACCAACTGTTATGGTACAGCTATTTCTTTAATGCCTACTTCTCTCATGAATGTAAACCCCAGGACATAAGAGTTTTGTCTGTTTTAGTCACCACCTTATGTTCTCACCACCAATCACAGTGCCTGACCCAGAGACACCCAATAATAGTTTTTATACTTCATTATACAAGAACTAGCAGAAGCATCTCTTCAGGGTAAGGATCGGGGAAGCTTGAAGAGCTGATGCCAATGTCAGAGTCATAGCCACGAAGAACCAGCAAGACAAGAAGGAGACCAAACAAAAACCATCAGTTTTCCATAAAGGACGCTCCTCCTTGGTCTCCTCTCAAGATTGCCTTCTGTAAATGACTTAGGCTCTGTACCTACACAGAATCAAGAGAGGCAGCATAAATTCAGTCAGTAAATGCTTAACTCTGAGTGGTCTGTGTTGTCCAAGCCCGTGCCATGCTCACTGGCCCCTCCTGAGGGACACAGCCTTGCAGAGGAGGCCTTCCTAAATAGCATGTGATGACCCACCCACCCTGGCAGTCTTTCATAGGCAGGTCAGCAACTATGAAGTGGTAGCAATAATTGAGCTAGGATCATCAGACACACTCATGTTCTGGTATGTGGCCTTATCCAGTCTGATGCCAATTTATAAAGAAAATGTCATGGAAGAAACAGAGGCTGACTGCTTATAATATAGGGCTACCACTAATTATGTTCTCAGGATATCATCAAATAGGGCTTGAAAAGAAATGAAATGTTTGATAAGATGTAGAAGGGGTCGTGGCAAGTCAAACCCTTGGGCAAAGCCACATTATGGGAGAAGAGCAACTATGAAGAAACATAGGACACTGGCCAGGAGAGCAGCGAGACACGTGGGGAGGCGCTCGGTGTGGCTTATGGGAGGGAGGGAGGGAGGGCATGGCAGCTGCAGTTACTGATGCTCTCCCGGTTCCAGCCACACACAGCCACATGGGGTAATAGGTTTTGTTTTGTTTTGTTTTCTTCCTTTGAGGAAATATCCCTTGCTGTTAACAGAGCCCAACTTCAACCTGTCTGTGTAGCTCTAACTCATCAAGCTGTGGTTAAGCAGTGTCAGCCCTAAAATGGCATCTGTGGTCATGAATCAGGCAAAGGTCAGGTGGTGGCCTAGGGTCCCAGGGCTCACCCACTGGCACACACATTTGCACCTCCTGTATCACTTTGAGATGAGAGAGATGCAGGCGAAAATCAGGCTTGGCATCCTCTGTGGCTCCACCACCTACACACACATGGGATGGAAGCACCGCTTCCCTTCTGCCCCACCCTTAAGCCTCACTAACTGGGGGACACAGTGCAGGCTGAGTGAAGGAAGAAATAGAAAACAAATTCTAAACATTTAATAACTAGTCACTTGGGTAATTAATATTTGATATTTAAAATAATTTAAAATTGAAATTCTGTTGTTTGAAAAAAACTGGTAACAGAGGAAAATAAATGATGCAGAGGATATGTGAGGTCAGACCTAGTTAACTATGTTTTTACCTTCAACTGAATAAATGTGAAGAAATGAAACAGCAGGAAAGGCATGGGAAAGCTCTTAGTATCTTCTGAGGTTAGGGTAAAGAAAAAATCCCGCAAACCCCATAATTAACAGTTAA